GCCCGGGACCGCGCTCAGCGGCTTCCAGAGACGCCGGGACGCAAGTCCTCCGGGGCGGCGGCCGCAGCTTTCCGTCTCCCGTCAGTTCCATTTTCCCCGGCGGCCTCGGGCTCTTCTCCGAGAAAAGGGAAAAAACAAAAAACTTGAATAAAAGGGCGTCGAGGTGTTGGAAGTGGCTGAGGTGTCCCGACGAAGCCGAGCTCCTCAACTCGATGTCTGGAGCCAGATGTGCAAACTCGCATGCATCCTCCGCGGAGGTAGTCCATGTTGACAGATCTCTCGCCTCCCACAAAATGGGGCCGAGGCGGCGGCCGCTGTCTCCTCTATGGGCGCCGCCATTTTGTGAGGCGGCGGCGGCGGCGAGTCCGGGGTGTGTGTAATGGTTGAATAGAATGACCCCCTCTAGGGAATCCCCGGCGCTGACAGTTACGTAAGGGGTTGTGCGCAAGTGCGGCGTTGAGGGAATCCGCACAGCCAAGGCCACGCAGCGCTGCGGCCCACTTCGCCACCACCCCTAAGAGGACAGTCTCGGCCCCCTTGCACCTCCGCCCACTTCGTCCCGGGCCCCGCGGCGGCCCGACCTTCCCCGGCCGGGTCTCCGCCCCCCGCTGGCTCCCGACAGTCCCTGGCCCTCGGGTGTGAAGAACTTCCTAGCCGCAGCCTCCTTCCGACCCCATTGAAGAAGCAAACTTTACTTGGGAAATAAATCCATTTCCTAGAGTGAGCACCGGAAACACACTGCCCTGCATTACATAATTTCACCACCACCATATAAATGTTCGCATTGGAGCCGCGACCTGGAAGAAGGCTTGCAGGTCTGGCTGCCCTGTGACTTTAGGTCATTCCGGGGCTCTGCCCTCGGTGGTCATCACTGAAATGGGCATCACAGCGTCTCCACGTCCCATGCAGCTTGATGAACGTGAGCAGCAAAGAGCTGGCTCTCAACACCCTTGTAAACGGACACTTGGGGGATGATTGAAAGTGGTTTTTTTAACCTTCAAAATGTTTTTAAAGGCTCGTACTGAAAATGATAGAAGGCAAGAAAAGACATTTTTATTCGATATGTAGACACATATTTAAGATGCCTGACTGTAAAAATATCAGCGTTCACTGGAAAGACGGCACTCCAGTTTACTACTTGGTCCTTCTGAGAGTTGGACACGTGAAACGAACCGAAGGCAAAATGCACCCAGCGTGACTCGATTTCCACAGAACGAGGGCAGTTCCCATTCTGTTTAAGTTCGCTAAAGTTACTTTGAGGATATTCCCGAAAAATATGCTGAGCGGGCCTCAAAATATTGACACAAGGCCCCGACAAGCCGATTCAAAAGTGACAAATCGGATTCCCGTCAGTGCCTGTGGTGTGGGGTTAGGAACCGTCGCTCGGAGCCTGGTGTCCCCCGCCCCCCAGCCGGCGGCACGCCGGCGCGGTCGAGCGCGCGGGGGTTTCGAGGCGGCCCGTGCAACAGCCGGGCGGGGGACGCGAACATCGCCTCCACCCCTAACCCTGGAACAACCGGTAGTGGCCGTTTCCCCGCGCCGCCCCCCTTTCCGTCGGCTTTGTGTGCGTGTGAAATGTGCGGCACATTGCAGATGAGCCCTAAGCCCGGCGAGCCGAGTCTATTGTTCCCCGCGAGGAGCAGCCGGGGCGGTGTGGAGCCAGGCGCAATACCGAGGCCGGCCCTCGGGGGTCGCTGTGTGGCGCTGGCTGCCCGGCTGTGGCGGCGGCGCTGGCGGCGGC